GTTCACATTTATACATTTCAGTTCAGATGTATCTGTTGGATATACCCCATATAGCCGTTCCCGTCCGACTTTGCTACTTCCCTTACTGGTTTATATTAATCATATCTTACAATAGTATGGGGGTATTTTAAACTCGAAGTTTTCAATTTATATCCGGCAATGTATGGAATTTTATGACAATTTAGCCAATCTGTTGTAATCATTTTACATTCGGAGGATATCATGATTCAAAACATGATGATGTTTGAAAAATGTGTTATATATGTCCACATGGAGGCATAGCCTCCATATTATGATTCATATCAATTTCCGTATTTAAAATGTAAAGTGAGAGAGAGAGAGGTTCAAGAATAAGTTATATGGGTTCACATTTAGGCATCACCCCCATATAATACCTCCCGATTTTCGGCATTTCCTATCAGGCGTATTTAATATTCGAGAGCATAGTAGAGTATAGGGTAGAGTAGGGTGTAAGAAACGTCACTGCAAACAAATGCCAATAAAATATGGTGTAATCTGTAGCAAATATGCCATCAAAAATTGCTGCAATTACTATTAACTATTAGTATATCCAATGTTCGCTACGGCCGAACTTACCGCTTTCTTCACTTGTTTTAAGCTATATCCACATTCTCCCACTGAAGTAACTTTAAATTGACATTCCAAGTTCATGGATAGTGAAACACAATTCGTTAAGATGTTCGGATTTAACTCTCTTGGATATTTGCTTTCAAACGGTCCGTTAACAATATGCAATCTCTTTCTGTGGAATACCTCATATCTTATACATGTCCATTTGCTTAACTAACTAACCGTTCGGTATCTGTTGGTAGTTGTATAAAATTCTAATTTATTAAAACAAAGCAAAGAACAGGCAAATCACAATCTTCAGTGCGTAGGTCCATTGTTAAGAGTACGTTTTTTTCATTTTTCATTTTTGGATGTCGGCTGAGATTGCATTATCATGTAGCATGATGTTGTTGTTGTAGCCGACGTTGTTGTTGCTGCTGTTCACTTTTGAGAAAATAAATTATTTTCACTTTATTTTTCACAATTTAGTTGAATATGGTAGGCACTTAAGTTAATGCCTTGGCATAGGTTGGTATGAGGTGGAGTGGGGCAGGATGGATGTTCGTATCTACATTTAAACTGGCACTCAACTGCTATCAAACGATAAGAGTAATAACAAAAGCTTTGAATGGCACCCGCACATTTGCTTTTATACAAAATACTGAAAAAAAAGAAAAATCACAACAGTCTAGTTGTATGGTCGGCTTTTGTTTACACGAGTATATCTGTGTTGGCCTCCCCCTGGTCTGTCGATGTTACTGTCTGTCTGTTGTGACCTGCCAGTCAGCCAGCCAGCCTGCTTGCCTGCCCTTTATGGTTTATTTGTTTGTGTTATCCTTTGCCTTGGTGCTGCCTGTTGTTGTTGTTTGTTAACTTGACGCCTATAGCTCCATTTACATATTTGTATAAATATGTCTGTCTCTGTGTGTGTGTGTGTTTGTTGTGCAAAGTAATTTTTGGATTGTTTATCTTTTGATGCTCTCCTCTCTCTCCCTATCTCTGCTGCCAGCAACCAAAATCCAAACAGTGGTAACGGAAATGGAATGGAATTCCATCACTACCATTAAAGTATTTCCTTTCTTAGCCACATCCAATGCGGCACACAAACACATATCTGTACACACTCACTCTCATTGACTGTATTTTAATGAATGCATTCTTTTAATTTTACAAAGTGTTTCGTTTTTGCATTTTTTCCGTTTAGCAAGCCTTTTTAAAGACATAGATGGTAGATAGCGATTAAATATTTTTGTAGGTTAGCATACAAGTTATAAATTACAATATTTATTCCAATTGGGACAAATTTTGGATTTTATGGGACTTTCCAAGGGGCAACAAAAGGTGTCATTGTGAATTACCCGGGAAAGGGGAAAATTTCAGTATTTTTTTTTAATTTTTTGATCCTAATACTTTGGAGTGGAAAATTCCAACACTTCCCCATTTTCACACCCATTACTTTTCAGCCCCACTTAATTTACCCATGTGTGTAATACAACAAAAACAAACTTCCAATAATTTCAAAAACTTATAATTGTTCGAAAATAAATGTGTTGTTCATCTGTAGATTTCAATTAAAGTTTTTGGCATGAAATTCTCTACGAACATTATTCTTATCATCATCATCATCTTCGTCAACATGTCGAACAGGAAGAATGACATTGTATTCGAACACCAAGAGCAATAACAGAACCAACTAAACCATATCCTTTAAACTTTTGTGGGCTAATAAGTAGGTTCAACGTTATCTATTGTTTCCTCGGGTAAAACATTTCTATAATTTGAAATTTAAGAACTTGAAAGAACCATCAAGCAAGGAACCACACAATCAACTTCACCATCACCACCACCACCATGGACATCACCACACTTTAGCAGTCTTCCTTCATCGTTTGTTGTTGTTGGCCACCGCCATAACAACAATCCTGACGATGATGATGAACTCCAAAGAAGACCCACCACTCGATGATAATGGTTATGGTGGCGTACAATTTACTAACTTTTAACTATGCCGTGTGTTGATGGCAATGACAATAGCTGGGAAAAGTTAAAGAAAGAAAAAAACGCAGCCCAGAAAAATGACAGAAATTTAGTTAATTAAAGTTTATAGCGTAAAAGTTTTTAAAACATTGCAGTAGCAACAGCAACAACTACCACAAGAATAAAAATGAATGACACTCTGCTATTCTTTACTGTTAATGGCAACAAAGAATAAGAAGAATAAGTTATCTGCTGTTGAAAGTTAAGAGCTAGTGTTAGTGATGGATTTCGTTATGTATATTGTAAATTAAATTTTCTACAAATGTTTGTTTTCAGCTTCTTTTAGTGGAGGGCAGCAAAAGTGGCCAAGAGATGGATAAGAAACAAAATATAAATTGAGTGCTAAAATTAACAATTTGGCGGCTTTAAGACGGGATACATATTAGAGTTTAAAATTTTGATTCAAGTGCGGCCAAATGATTTGTTTCATTATTTCGAAAAAAATCCAAGTGTTCCATTTACTTCAACCCTGACAAGATCCAAGCGACCTCCGTGCGTATGAGTATTGACACAAATCATACGGTACGATGTAAACAAGCCTGATAATATTTTGCAAAGCAAATTTTTCAGATAATTAAACTCTGAATATCAAAATGTATTGTTCTAAAAAGGAACAAAATTTCGATATTTAAACTACTACGTACAGGAGTGTCTCCTATTTGCAATATTCTGTCGATGAAGATACATAACATCTTCGGAGGTCCACTGATAAGGAATCGGAACAAATTAAATATCTGATCTACATAGATATATAAATCATTTATATGATTGTCCGATTAACACGAAATTTTGCACAGCGTATCAAATTGAATGACGTTATTGCGTTATGTGGAAATTGATGCAGATGCAGACATAGCTTCTATATGTATTTCGGACCCGTATCTGATCGAGATTAAATTTTTAACAGTGCGGCGTACACAATAGCGTGTACCAATTTTGCTAGGTTTGTCCATTTTACTTATGTTACTTAGGTGAACATGTTGTCTCATATTATGGAACTCAGTGCGTATGAATATTGACATTCATCATACGATCGAGTTTACACTTTTTATACAAACCCTATTTTAGATTTGTAATAAATTTTTATATAATTTATATATGTTTGAAAATAATTTTAAATAGTTATTACTATTTGATTCTATTACTAATTGATTCTAATATTTCTTAGAACCATCAATGTCTTAATCAATATAGCTTTAAATTTAAAGAAATGCTGATCCTTTTTTTCTTGCTTTTTTTCTGGCCTGCAAATAATAACATTTTGTTTTTCTTTCTCCCATTCTTTCCTTTCAAATATTTGCAGAACACAATGTAAACTCAAGCGAAAAAACCCAAAGCACAAGAAAACCACAAGAACGCCAAAAAACAGCGGAGAAAAACCCAACAGCTGGTAACCAAACGACACTAATGGCCTTAATGATTAGATGAGAATGGGTAGTGAACAGTAACATGAAGAAGGAAAACCAAAAAACCCAAGATTGAATAGAATAATACCCGGATGTACAGGAAATATAAGAAACAAGAGGAAGAAAAATAGAGAAACAACAGAACGGCAACAAAAAACCCGAACAAAATACAAACGATAAGAATACATGGGAGGTTCATAAAAAAAACTACGAAAATTCGGGGTAGAAAAAAATCAACAACAACAACCGAAACATTGAATGGCAAACTAATAGAAAATATGCTGACGTCAACCATGCAAAAAAACTAACAGCGATACAAAACATAGGGAGTTCATAAAAAAGCATAGTGTGGGTGTTTGAAAAAAAGAAAGGAATTTGGAAAGGATAGTAAAGAAATACCCGGGTACAACAAACATCACAGATTCCTGAGTTAGGAAAAAACATCTTTTGGTCCTTAAATTGTTGTTGTTTGTGACAAAGAAAAAAAACAAGGATTCCCACAACAAAAACAGCCAGATAAGGAATATATGTCCCAGTTATTGCAAAAGTTAAATAATATCTGAAGAAGGATAAATAAAAACACAAGGATTTCGGTCATTAGTCTAAAAGGATTATGTAGTATTGAGTAGGCCATAATCCCAAAAATCCGTAATCCTAGATTTTCTTAAGAAAAAAAGGGAATACATGACAAGACACCCCTACTCCTTGCTCCAGCATAAATGACAATTTTGCCAAGTAGCTGCAAAAGAAAAGAAGATGTTTTATTTTTGACAAACGAAAATAATCTACAAGCAAAATTACAACAACAACACAAACCTAAAAACAAAATTTAATCATTAATCAAATAATTTCAATTCAATATTTTTTAAAAATAAAACCAAAACACCAACAACCACGACCATGTTTCACCGACCTACCGGAAAAACGAAATTTCAATCCATTTTTGGCATTTATTTGTCATTGTGGTTACTGCTGATGATGACGATGATGGACCCGATCGGAGCGTGTCCAGCAGAGGTATGCATTTGTAAATGGAAGGGTGGCAAACAGACTGTGGAATGTGGTGGCCAATCCCTACCCAACATACCCGAAGGTATGGATCCCGGTACACAGGTCCTGAATTTTTCGGGCAATGCTCTACAGGTGCTGCAAAGTGAACGATTTCTACGTATGGACTTATTGAATTTGCAAAAAATCTACCTATCCCGTAATCAGCTGATACGTATACATGAAAAAGCTTTTCGTGGCCTTACAAATCTCGTCGAATTAGATTTATCGGAAAATTCGCTGCAACACATACCCACAGAGACATTTCAGGATTATAGTTCGTTGATGCGGCTCTCGTTGAGTGGCAATCCCATAAGAGAGCTGAAAACCTCCGCTTTTCGTTATCTCTCCTTTTTGACCACCCTGGAGTTGAGCAACTGTCAAATTGAGCGGATCGAAAATGAGGCGTTTGTGGGTATGGATAATCTGGAATGGTTACGTTTGGATGGAAATCGTATTAGCTATATTCAGGGTAATCATATTTTACCCAAATCCCTGCATGGCATCAGCTTACAAAGTAATCGTTGGACGTGTGATTGTCGACTTTTGGATTTGCACAACTGGTTGAATAGCTATAACACCCCGCAGACCGAGGAACCCAAATGTGTGGAACCTCTAAGGCTGAAGGGTCAGGTTATTAAATCTCTAAAGAAAGAAGAATTTGCCTGTCTCCCAGAGGTAACCCCTCAATCCACCTATACCGAAGTTTCTGAGGGGCGTAACCTCACCATCTCCTGTGTGGTACGAGCCATACCCGAACCCAAGGTCTTATGGCTATTTAATGGCCAAGTCATGTCCAATGATAGCTTTATCGATAACATGCACATGCTGTACTATATCGATGAAACCTCCACCACGTC